CTGCCCTCTCCACCTGTGCTGCAAACTCTGGGTGCTCCCATTTCAACAGAGAAAACTCAAAGAGGAAAATATATTAATTAAGTGGCTGAATGATAATACACAGGACTGGGATTTATGACCTTCAAATAAATATGTGATATTACTGCTTTTGGACACATGTTATGTTTATTTTCACTATTTGTTAAGGGAAAAAAAGTAAAAAAGGATCAACTTCCAAAGAATTCTCAAACAAAATTTAAATGATGATTAGATTAGATTCATAGTCACTAATAAGAAAAAAATAATTACTATAGAAAAACTGGTGTAGTAAAATTTACCACAGCTGCTTTTACTACTTAGAGAGGGGGTATTTTACTTCTCGAGGGTGTAAACTACTAACACATAGCATATATAGATCACCATGTTTTATTACCTTTTATTATTTTGAAAATGCTATATTCCCCGAAAACAACATATTTTATAAGTTTCACTTTTGATTTTGCTCTATCACAACACAATCAGTGTGCATCCCACTAATGAAACTAATATACATTGTGTTTGTCAGGTTGTTGTGTACAGTTTTATATCATGCTTTTGTATATTTATGAAGGATTGTCCATAAGTAAACAATTCTAAATTATCGTGTGGGAGCAGGGGTAATGTAGGCTTGTGGGTTGAGCATTAAACAAATCTTACAGCTAACCATAAGGAGGGTTCAAATAATGCCCGAGGGAGATCGCAAAACTACTCAAACATGCAGGGATGACATCTAAAACCTCTTTAGGCAGGTTTCTGATGAGGAAACAACATAACATGATAGAAAGCTCTAAAAAAGGAGAGAAAAAAGTAATGCAGGATACCCCTTTTTTAACTAAATCTTATATGCTCAATCAGACATTCCAGACTGAATAGGCACCTTACCTTGACCCAAAATAATGTAATAATTGGGAGATTACATTTTGATATTAAATGACAATGCCATTTTGTTATTTTACCCCTCGAAAGATTAGATTAAGTTTGCTGGAACATATGTATTCTGTCTCTATATCTCTAAACAGATATAGAGACAGAAAACCCACAAACAAATTGCAGTTAAACTCACATTTAGAGGAACCAGCTCCTAAAATAGTCCCCGATCCAGTTAGTGATGTGTGCTGTGAGGTGAACTTGTCCCAGTGAGGAGAACCTGAGGCATCCTGCAGGCCAGCACACTCACACAGGCCTCTGCAGGTTACACACTGAGCCCATGTTTAATACATAACTCACAATACAAGTCTCCCAGGAGTCACTTTACTGCTGCCATGCTCTCCTCTGCACATGCACTCAGCTCAACTTCCTGAATGACAAGTACACTGTAAAAACATGCACAAGTTCAGTGTACGTTTAAATAGACACAAAATGGATTCTTGTGAGCTTCTATAATGTTGATACCTGCTCACAAACATACCTGGAATTTTATTTCATTCACACATGTTGAGTAATTCTGTCAGAATTAGTCTGTCTACATCCCCAATTTGCTCTGTTACGCTTTGTGTAACTCTGTGTCATGTAGTTGTATTTTTGAAGTTAACGGCTAAATTTTTTACTTTTGTTAAGAAGAGATGATATACAAATATGCATGATAAATAGAATAACAAAAAAATGAAAAAAGTGAAAACAATGGGTAAAATTCAGAAAGATACAGGTTTAGAAATGTAATCTTATTTATGACTTAGCTGTTAGAAGAGCTACAAATGACTTAAGCTAATTTGAACAACTTAGTTCAGATTAGTACAAGTATGCACAGTTTAACAGCACACTCCAAGGCTGAGCTGTGCAAAAAGCAATGCAGAAATCATAGGTATGGGCTCACTCAAACCAATCACCAGCTTGTACTTAGACACACTCCCCCCATAGACACTGGCAAACTTCCAAAATGAAGTCCTCCTATCTGCGCACAGGCAGCCATAAAGGAAGTTGGGACTAGCCAAACGTGAGCCAAAACATATTCGCCAAACATATGTGTATTTAGATATTCACAGTTTTCCATAAGTAACGCAGGGAGCAATGAACCAGCCCACAGATATACCCAGGCCTGTGCTTTCCTGGGTGGTAGAAGGAAAAGTTAGTCCAGAGCTACTTTAGTTCGCTGTTAACATGATAAACACGATTCCCCTCCAACTTTGCAGCAAAAATTCAATTTGGAATTTGACAAAGATTTGATATTTTTACAGAAAGAGGATGGACATTCAATTTCAATGTCACCTCCAGAGGGTGCACACACACGCAGATAGGAATATTTAAAAGAAGCCGGAGAGGAGAGAGTGAAAGAAGGAAATGTAGTCACACTCCGGACAGGGACGCAAGGCTCCAAGTGTTCAAAACCATCAAAAGCTCCACTACTTTCTGAAGCAAAAACTCGGCAAGAAGGAAAAATGTGGAACAATTTTGGAGGCTTGCATTCACCTAACCGGGTTATCCAAAGAAATGAAGACCTGTGGAAAGGGCTGATGAGTCCTATTGCTGGTTTCAAACGCTAAATGTTACATCAGGGGGTCCATGTTAACACATTTAGATAAACACTATTTCCTGTATTTCACGTATAGTCCACTGAAACAATCACATAGTAAAAGCAGTGATGTATTGTCACAGAAATATTGTCACCTTTACCCAGTTGGTAATTGATACTACATTCAGTGTGTTTAGATTAGTTGTTGTTTTCTGGTGCTGTTAATCTTTCATTTGGAGGTATTCAGAATACAGTTACTTTACTAAATTAAAGGAATACATGGCAATACTTCATCATGCACTTTTGGCTTTGAACTGCATGGTCTTAATGAGGAAAAAAGAGAACATAGATCTTGCAGTGTGTGCATGTGTATTATTTATCTCTAATTAGAAATAAATTAATGCATAACAACAAAAATAAAGTTGTTTATAGTTTTATGTCATGTTTTTACACTGTAATCTAATGTAATTTGATGTAAAAGTATTCTAAGTATTCAGAATACAGTCTTCTGATTGGACTGTGTATCAGAATACTTTACAAAATACATTGTAATTCAGGTATTCAGTATTCGGTAACTAAACACATTTTCAAAGTGTTCTTCCCATCACTATTAGATGTAGACTCAGTGGTATTTGAAGTTGCAGTGTAAGTACTCTACTTATATATCACATATATCTTACAATACCCCTTTCCATAATTATTTTGTTCAGTACTTTTACTTCTGATTGTTGTTCATGTTCAAACTACAATACTTTAGTTTGAAAGTATAAAGTATATGGTACAGTTCTGGCCTTGGACCCCAATACAGTTAGGGAGAGACTAGACTGCGTCTGGATTAAAAGACAAACAATTAGATTAGAACCATGAATGTTCCAACAATAGTAATCTGAAAGAGAGGTTTACAAGCAGCATTTAGTGTCGACTTAGTTAAATTAATTCTTCGGATTCAGAGAGCTCTGATACATTATCATCTCCATCAGATGATTCTTGAGGAGGATTTGCACTCATCACAAACTCACAGCACAACAGCCCAGCTCTCGAGTGGGGACGTGTGCAGAAGTTATTGTGTTTAATTTAATAAGGCCATGGAGAAAGTGCCAACAAAAGCCTGCGTCAGTGAGAGACAGTGGAGGTGATGGGGGCTGGGTGATGCTATCTGGATGATACATGTATGAAAGTAACTCAACAAAACCAGCCAAATCCTGTTATTGCTCTATTTTTGTTTCATATACTCACTCTCAGAGCCGAAAGATTAGGCGATTCTAAAAGCGGAAGTGCGTAATCTGCTTTAACAGCTTATCAAAACTTTAATGATTTGGCGATAAAGAGCACAAAGTTAAGTAGCCGGTTAAGAGGATAACTCCCCAGTGCAGTGGAGTGATTAGTAGATGAGAATTGGGAAAGCGAAAATCCGGGTTCTTTTTTTTTGCTTTTTTTTCAAATCCCCTCTCCTGCCACTTATTCACTTTCAGGCAGAGGCAGCTCAGTTTCAACTTTGGGGTATTGTCACGGGGTAATCATTTCTGAAAATGCGTAAGTCTCTTTCCTTCAGCCTTCAAAAACCAAAACATCTCACAACATCTCTATTTAGGTGTTAGTTTCTGTGAATTCTCTGGTAGTAAGAGGGACAAAGCATAACAGTTGCTCATTGTTCAGTAGTCGGGTTCATCTGTCTCTCTGTATTGATCTTGTGTTGTAGAGTAACATAAAAGTGAATCTAATGTGGTCATTTCAATAATGAGAGTCAAAAACAAGCAAAGAGCTATTTGGGAGTATGTAGACTTCAGCCAAGGCACTGGTTCTATCATACAAGTATGTACCCAGAATTTGCAATATAACACACTAACTATATTAAATAATGGTTATAGACATTCAAAATTAAAATTCAGAAAGGTTTAGTAAAAGTTTATATTTTAAAACAATTCTGTAACCATACTAATAATAAATGTTTTGTTCAAATAGTGCGATAAAAAAGTCCTACTTTCCGCACAGTCAGATCCAGAACTACATGAGTTGAGCTAAAACATATGAAGTAAAATGGAGCAGGCTGCACTCATGCTGCGTGCCCTATCTGCTTGGAGATAGGGATTCACTTAGGAGAAAAAAGGGGCATTAATTACCTTGTGAAATCTAAAGACCATTAACTTAGTGTGTCAAGTGATGTTTCTCAGGTCCTAATCACACTTTTAGTGATATAAATTACTGAGTGGATGAGAACAACAGATTAGAGGAGAGGCTCTCTGTGTGCTAAGTGTGTGCGCATGTGTGACTTTGAGAAGAAAAAGTTACAGAGAGAAAAAGAGAGAGAGAAAGAAGAGGAGGACGGAGAGATGTCAGTGTCTTTGTGCTGGTGCATGACGTGGCGTCCTGTGTGCCTCTCTGATAACAGAGTGCAGTAGTGTATGAATTTGTATAGTATGTGTATGTATTTATATATCTGTGTGTGCGTATGCGTGTGTATATGTGTATATATATGTGTGTATGTGTATGCAAGTGTGTGTATGTGTGTTTAAGTGTGTGTGTGAGTGCTTACCTTTGCTGTACACCACACAGTTGTTTTTGTTGTCTTCTGCTCCCTGCCAAGTCACATCCAGCAGCCACCTGGGGCCGGCGCTCAGCACCACCGGGACCGTGCTCTTGGTCTTCTGCAGCAGGACAGATAACACACACTAATCAGGGGCTCTTTTTGGTGATTAAAGCGGCATTAATAAGACACAGTTATGCTCAGAATAACCATAAACACTATTTTCACAAACTGTACAGCATGCCACAATCCTTTTGAGAAGATATGAGGATGAATTCCTCTGTGTTTCGTTGTTAGTGAAGTGGTGACCAGTGCAGAAGCCTATATGTGTAAGAACCACTTATCATAGAGAATTTAACCCTGAGATTACAATCTCCAGTGTCTGGGAATTGCAAAAGAAAAGAGAAAGAACAAGGTAAAAGGGCTGTGACTTTGAGAGAGAAGGAAGTGGGCGCTCAGCAGTGAACTTTGGGCACATTGTGCCTCACTATCACCATGATCTTACTATTTCCTGAAACAAGCAAGGAAGAATTTAAAGAATCAGTATCCATTTCAAAGGGCGATTGAGGTTAGAGTTTTTATAATATGCCGGAAAATTATTCTGAATGTGTAAGGTCATTTTTCTTCTTGGTCAGAGGTCAAATGTGGACTTTTATTTCTTGCACAGAAAAAATCAGAGAGGGAGATAGAGTGCAACAACCCCCTCATTGCAGATTCACACGGCGCAGTGTCACCAGATTGGCTGGCTCTATTTATCCTCATGTGATTTTATTTTTTACACAATGCTGTTTGTTTTTAAAGGCCAGGCTGCGCTGCACTGTGAAATGGTGCTGAGGGGGTGGTAGACACATCTCGGACTGTGGCTCCACTCGCCTATTACTCAAAGGCACAATGTCAGTTTTTCAAGGCCATTACTTTTGAACCCCTGGGCCTTCCTTCATTAGACTGCTACCGAAATAGTTTAGCTCAAGGAAAATGGGCTGGGGTGCAACTCCACTCTTCATTTCTTTTTCCATCTGAGGCACAAATGGACAGGACACTGTCCATCTGCCTAATACGCCAGAAAAAATACCAGTCCTCTCTGCGCCTTTCACTGCGCTCTCCCCCGCAAAAGGCAACAACCTTCAAGGATAAATGCAAATGTCACTTGAGCATGTTAGAGGTCTGAATTGGCACAGATATGCACAAGAGATGAGCACTGTGCACCGCCTGCCCCCTCCTCCTCTTCCTCCTCTTCCTCCTCTGCCACCGCCATTTCTCACATGAACTCTATCTCCTCACAGGCTGCAGGACAAACTCATTTTTACAGCATTATTTAGAAACAGCAAATACATGTCTTAGAGATAGGGATCTGCTGCGGATTTGTGGGCAAAATTAGGAACACAAATAGATATTCTAAATAAAGACAGACTTCTACATATGCCCTATATATACATGCGGGCGCACTGGCATCATGCCCTGCCAAAGTGATCAAACACAGACAGTAAATTGTGTCTGTTGATATTCTTATTCCTTCTGCTGGCATCGCCTTATCCTGCGCTGGCAGCACATGAGAGAGAGAAGACCTCTGTAATTTAAGTCATCCTCCATTTCACATTTCAAATTAGCCTCACAATAAAGTCTTCTATCTGGCTAACCTGGAAATCTCACAGCCCTGTCAAAGGAGCAGCACAGACTGGCCGATTGTTGCCCGGACGACTATCTGAAATGGGAATCAGATTAACCCTTTCTTAGATCTCCAGACGGGAGCCATCTCTTATTCAGCGCTATAGAGGCCTCTCCGTTGTCCCTCCGAGCCGCTGGGAATTCGCCATATTCCAGATGCTCCTAATGGGGCCAACAGGGACTAAACACTGCATTAACTAGACACTTCTCCACTGTTACAAATCACTGCTTATTTGTTTCACATGCTGTTGTGACAGCATTTTAAGGTTATGACTAATATCCACTACTTGTGATTTTGCAGCCAATTCTTGCTCCTTGTAAGCCTTTTCTTTTCAGTGCTAACTGTGCAATAGCAGCAGCCCAGCACAATGTGAGAGCATAGATTTACATAATGCATCTATATTGACAATAGTGGCCTAAGTGCGTTGTAAGCATGCAGCCTGTAGCAGCCATCACAAAGACAAAGCTGTGCGGAGAAGCCAGTGCACGCGACACAGAGGGGGATTAGGGTGAAGGCGCGGGAGCAGGAGGGAGCGTCTGCTAAATGCAAATGAAAACATTTGTAGGAGCAGATCAGCTGGTCTAAGTGTCCGGGCCACAGGGAATGGAGACTGACAGCCACAAAATGACGACTTCCCTGCAGCAAAATGACATGTGATCAGCTGGGTTTACAAACACACAGCGCTACAAGAAACCAAGAATGGAACTATAGGGTTAGGGTTATGGGGGCTCACATGAGGCCTTTAGTGCAGAGAAGATAGATCTAAATACAATGTTTGACTACTGGGCCAGGAAGTAATAAACTAAATGTACTTGTCTTGTTTAGCAAAACATGCTCTAAACATACAATCAAGCAATCAAGTATACCACAAGAAATGTTGGTAAAAATCCTTATAATAATTATTGTAACAAACAGGTGTTGTTGCATGACTTCAAAATCTAGTAATTTTATTAATTCAAACCCTAGGAGGACTCTCTTCTAAAAAATTTTAACAGCATATAACCTTTGCATGAATAAATCTGTGTCAGTGTATTTCTATATGTAACTTTGACACAATACAAGACATTTACAGAATTTACTGTACATATTTTACAGAAGATCTATCTAAAAAGAGGGCATATCTTTGTTACGTTCATATGGGGTATTTAGTATCATTTACACAGTATTATCCCTGTCAGAGGCAGCAGAGCCCCTGGCCCTGCTCCTGTGTAATGTGTTCTGCTTTATCCTCCCGTGCCTTCACTCCACTGGTGCAATACTAAACTACTATTTTCTCTCTCCCTCAGTTACGTTGCTGTAGCGTGTAAGAGATACAGTGACCGAAACAGTGTAGTCAGCGAGGAAGTGATTACAAACTGATGCTCCAAATTCGCCATAAAATGAAAATCAATATTTCCACAAGTTGCTGCAACATAAAAGATAACCTTCATTGATTTTTCTAGACTTAGACCTCTGTGATAAAATCTAATATAAATTTTCAGCCACACGGATTTGGATCAGAGCGGCGCAGGGGCTCAACGATAAGTGAGTGCACATCTCTCACACTTGGATTTTTTCCTCTGCCTTTTCGCTTTTCCAAGGCTGGGCTGTACTATTTATAATTGGCCCAGTGCGAGCAAAAGCTTCTATCAGGAATCTGTTCTAATTTTTATTACTGAGGAGCTAAAGCCTGTTCCAGATAATTTGGAAATTTCAGGGGAATTGTGATAGAGCTGATGGCACAGCCGGACCGACTCCAGAAAAGAGCTAACCTGTAATAGCCTCGGTGGCTGCGCTGATTAAATGTTGCCATAGATGAAAGACCTGCCATCACCGCAATAAATTAACCAATCACACAAATCCCAAGTCGCTACTAATCCCTCCTTGATACCATGATCCTCTGATCAGCTGAAGGAGGTGAAGAAGAAAGTGGCTTGTGACACTGGGCTCTGGCTAACTCCCTGCTCCTGTGTAAACAACAGCTAATGATATCACCACTGACCATTTCAGCTCCAGCAGACACTCTTAACCTGCTCGTGGTCAGCCAGGTGAGAGCCACACAAACCCACTGCTGCCAATGAAGGTTTTCCTCTTCGATTTCCCCCCTCCCCCACCAAGGTCACTGACTGCCACTGTATCCGTCCTGATCCCCAGCTGCAGGATTTAGACAACTGAGAGATCAAAACCACTCCGCCTGAATATCTACACACATTGGCTTTATACATGGGGCTTCCAACTCCCACTCTCTATGTAGGATATGTAGTACACTGTGAGGAGTGGAGCAGAGCCATGGTGAAACTAAACTAGCATCATCTTTGCATCAACAGCAGCTTGTAATGGCTATTCATCTTTATATGTACTGTACATACTGACAAAAGAATGAAAATTGTAATAGGAATTAAACATTAGACATTTTGATTAGGTTGTAAAAATCAAAGTCTACAGCAAGGACCTGAAATTGCACACAAATTCAGTAGCATTACATTTGACATTATTTAAACAGAACGCATTTTCTCATTTCATGTAATTTAATTGCAGTTTAATTACATATTACAAGAGGAATTTTCAAGAACAAAACAAGTGTATTATATTTGCTTGAAAATAAGCAAAACTACATACAAAACCAGATTTTTGTTTAGTATTTGGCTCGCCATTTTAGCCTATATTTGACCCTGTGTTTTCCCATTGAAAAAAAATCTATTTAATTTCCACAGTTCTGTCAATTCTAGTGGTGTAACAATATAGAAACAAGCTTATGTATGGGTTATGTCAAGTTTATATGTCCTCTGCTCCTAACATGGCAGAGGGGATAAAGGATTTGTACCTGTTTTACCAGTCAGTTTACAGCAGACAGCACACTCACACCTTGATAACGCCCGCTGCAATTAGTTGTTCGGTGCGATGAAACAAATTGCATGTGGTCAACTGGAAATTTCATTAAGGGAGATTTTCCTGCAGCCCTCGTTATCGCGCACCGTATTAATATTTTCTTAGCCTCAAGGATGGACGGGTTGCACGGGGTCTTTTTGTTGAATAAATGGACCAAAGCTCACCTCATAGTCTACCACTATCCTCTGCTGGCAAAGGCTTATACTGTTAGCTGCTGCATATTTTTTCACTGAAAGAAGGTTCTCTGTCAATATTTTTGCATAAAGGAATACGACAATTTCTCAAGTCGGCTTTTGTGTCATTCTTTCCTCTAAATGGCTAGAGCGACATCAGCTCAAATGAAAAGATACCTATATATTGCTTTCATCCGCTTGGTCCTCCCCCCTCTCTACATCTCCTCCTGTCTCTAAGGCTACAGCATCTGGTATTGGGAACGCTAAATAACAAGGAATATGCAGGAATCGCACACTAATTCCCTTTTGGAGATAGATCTTGGCTCCTGCCCTGTCATAAATCAGAGAATTTCGATATGAACTGAGGCAGGCGCTGCTCTAATCATTTCTGCATTTCAAATTGGATCACTGGCT